CTTCCTTACCTTTGGGAGATGATGAACGCGACGACATATCTGGACCCCGAATATTTCGGCATTTACATTTCTCTCTGTATATTTCTCTCTCACACAGCGAAAAATCGTCCACTCACATGTGTCACGCACCCATTTAACTTCTATTAGGTCGGCGGTAACGATATCGTCAAGACAGGGGGACCATTATGAAACTGAAGTACGCATGGTAGCAACGACAAGGGACTTTTCTCGGCGAAACTGTATTTGTCAAATAATGATACATAGTAGACCATACGATAACCATACGAAAGTTTCCACATTACACGTGTCTACCGTCATCAAAGGGGGGATTAGTGGGTTTGACTGGGTGCAGGAGAAATGCAAATGGAAACTTACGGTCTGCTGCAGTTCTTCGAATTGACGTCTTGATATTTGAACAGCTCTGAGCTCGTCTTGGCGTCCTATCTCCTCGGCTGCGGCTTCTGCTTCTTTAAGGAGTCCGTCAATTACAGTCAAACTGCCCTCCATATAGGCATCCCGTTTGACCGCATCGTACACGGCGGCCATTTGATTCTGAAAAGGCGCAGAATTTACATTAGGTATCCTCTTTCCGGTACCTTGGTGTTACTCTGACCTCTCATCTCTCATTTACTCCTCATATTGAAACCGTTTCAATTAAAATGTGTTTACTTCTCTATTATATCCGTTAGTTACGATCATATCGCAAACAAACCTCAAACATACCTCTCTAGCTCACTGGTCGCGGGTTCGAAACTCGAGTGTATCGGCAGTTTCTTTGGTTATACTGGAGTCGGGTAACTGCAGCTGACGACAGCTTATAAGCTAGAAATACGCGTAGTACATTGGATACCTCAAACCCTTCTCTGACAACTTATAGATGCCCGCATTCTCCTCCCTCATCCTCTAGTGCTCTCCGTTTATTTTTCCAGCCTTGCTTAAAAAGACGCGTTCATTTTGAAACGCTTCCTCTGAATGTTCGCTTCAGCTGTTGGTTTTTCTTACGCCTGTTTAGCTGATATTATAATACAGCGAGACTTAAAAGTAGTCAAACCGTTTTTGCTGAGCTGAATTAATGACTGCGAAGTCTTTCCGACGTACATATGTTCTGCCGTACATCGGCATATCAGCACGCTGTGCTTCCCTTCGTAGCACGCTACTTCACATGTAAAGAAACGGAAATCCAGAAGCGGAGAGAAGTCTTGTCTCGATAATAAATATGGATTTTGTGTAAACCTCAATATTTTTGAGTATTTTCTCAACTTATTTCTTAGTCTCAGTGAATGCAGCTATTTATTGCTGAACATTTTGGATGTCACCTTCAAAACAAACTGTATTTCTCATTCTCTGTTCAAATTAACTGTTATACATGCAACAAACGGAGGGTACATGAAATAGTATGGGCGTGGCGTTAGCGCGGGTCTGACTTGTTATAACGACGAGTTCGGGCGTCGCTAGTGTTATAACGATGACATCTGACGTGTGCCACCGTCGAATTACGCCCTGTTGAATTCCCCAAGGAAGAACACAATAGGAAGGGAAAAATTCTGGAATCTACCCGGAGAAGGGTTTACTGTGTACAAGAGAACGCACCAAACACCCTTTTATAAGAGATTGTTTGCGCGTTCGCTTGTGGCCTGGTTGGCCGCATTGGGATAAAGTCACGCTACCAGTTGACCCTCGGGGAACAGCGAACAGTTGTGCCTTGCGTAGGCTCGTGTGCGTGCGTGCGTGTGGTCGAAGGTCATTGTGAGTGGACAGTCATCGTCTGAATGA